GTTATTACATGGCAAACACAATTACCGACGTGTTGCATGAATATAAAATATTTCTATAAGAAAAATATATTTTTGAAGCAATACCGAGTAATGGCGAAATATTCTAAATTACTTAGACTTTAAAATGTTATTTAAACGTTGCACGAGGTAACGATGATCAGGTTGAATCTTCGTTCGTTAGAAACATATCTTGCTGCAATAAGCATGTAAAGGAAGATTATAATATAAAAAAAAATACCCTGTATATACATTTCCATTGAAAAGAATCTCAGGAATATTTCCTATTTTCAATGTACTTCGATTATGAATACGAATTTTAAGTCATTTTAATTTTTTTCTGTACAAACTATTAAATTAATTATTACAACGTAGCTCGTCCGGCAATTTTTCTTCAGTATAATAATTGTGCCAATTGCGACTTCTGAGAACATATACGTATCCATTTCGCAGTTCTGTTTAATTCGTGGTGAATAATTAAAAGAATGTTAGAAACTCGGAAAGTAACCGAGAAAAGAAAGAGACAGCATCACGGATGATCAACGCTAACTCGATAGAATGGATACGTCATGTCAATGTTCGATATTTTTTTATCGGTGTGCGAAACGTAGAAACGGAAGTGTTAGGCAACGTTTATTCAGGTCAAGTCAGTGTGATAAGATCCTCTCATTTAATAGCACGGCCCGGTTAGGATATCAGAGCAGTCATTAACCGTGTACCTGCGAGGATATACGAGCTCGCGGACGGCCTGGTTTCACCTGCTTTGTATGCCCGCATAAAATCTTTGCATGGATTTCGTACGTATCCTCGATTAACCCCTTTCGCGCCGCCGCCACACATCCCCGCCTCCATCTTGAACTGAATTTCAAACACATTGATCATAGACACACGCCGGCTTGCGTTTCGTTCATATTTCCTTTTCTCTCTGTCTATCTTTCTCTCTTTTAGCAACCGTGTGGTTTCAATCTTCCGGGCAAAAGCTATCTCCGATCTTTTCAAGTGTCGCCCCCACACTTCTTTGGACCGAGTTGTGTTTTGAAAAAATTTCTCAAGCATCAGGCAACCGCGTAATTTCCAAGAAAACGCGTAATTGTTATCTGTCGGCGCTCGAGTTACAGCGAACAGCATGAATCCCCACTTGTCACCAGATCGCGGATTTTTGCGCAATTTTTTTTTCTTTTCTTTTTCCAAATATCCAAAGGATAATACTTTCTGTGATACGCGATACGTAAAAACAATTTTTCATCAATGTTTCTTTCTTTTTTCGCAATATTTACGAGAATATAAATTTACTTATTATATTAAGACAATATAGGCGGGCAATGAAGACAACGGAAATATTTTGTGTAATTAAAATCGATATACTTTTAATATTTTAATACCGCAAATACCTTTTCGTTGATTCGATTTTGCGCTTAAATAAGTTAACTTTGCATTCAAATTAACAACTTACTGATATTTACTCCGCGATCCTTCAACTTTTAGGATGCAAAGACGCTTCAATGCGTTTACAAGATTTCAACAATAAATCAGAATAAGTTTCCATTGGTCTTTTTATACGCGATATAAATAAATTAATGGATCGTTCAATCAATCGTTCATCAATCGGTATATTTTTAGTTCTGGACAACTTGATATAACTCGAACGAGTCAAAATAACACGTTACGCGTTATGATATTTATTATTTTACCCACAAAAATTTTCCTAATATAAGAATATTTCACGCAAATGAAGAAATATAAATGCAAGGCCAATATTACGAGTATATTAATGCTCGATTATGTTCAATGTTATACCGATGCTGCAACGTTACACTGAATTAATATTATTATATTCCCAATGTAAGAAAGAGGGGAAAAATTCATTGCAGTTGAAATGAAACTTCTTTACGTTTCTTCGTATTATTCGAGAAATTTCTAATAAATATTACATTTCATGTTATCTCGACTAAAGATGTCAACTTCTGGCAGAATTTCCAATCAGTTCAATTCAGACGTACACACTGTCCGATATAAAATCTTCTAATTGAATCATTCAAAATCTGACTAACTTAATAATAAAACAGCAGGTTTCGAAATATTCCCCTGCCGGAAGAGGACGGTGTTCGCCGTGACGAGTCATTATCGCGTGACGTTAATGATTTACTTTAATAACGGTACAGCGTTATCCCAATTGGCGGAATAATTGACCCCTGTAGCGCGCAATTCATTAAATCGGCGAGATATTGGCGTTAAACGCGAACGCGAGTAACGGCGATGCTTTTGTATTTGTGATGCCCCTAAGGCACCCGTCCACCTTCAAAGTGAATAACGATCCCGATCCGATCGGGACGAATCCCTGCTGTAATTTATATTCTACAATTTTTTCTGCTCTAAATTCTCGTTTCTGAATTCTCGAAACTATGTACGGAATAATTTGTAAAACCCGTTGTCGAATCGTAACGCGATTTCACGAAATCGAATGTTTTGTAAAACTTGCACCGTCGTTCCACGTACGTACGGAACGGAACGAGCGACGCTTTTTAAACGGCTTAATACTTCTCTCGCGTGTTTGAGTTTCTATGAGTATCGTTCGACCCCGTAACGCTCGATTCGGCTCGACGTGACGAGTGTGATTGCAAGAAATAATAGTGAAAGGACAGAATTTATTGCTACACTGTTGCTCAAAACTGTGTGACTTTTCACTCTATATACATGCATGTCTGTGTGTGAATTTGCCATTTTTCCGAGACTCGCGATACGTATTAACATTCTCAAATATTCGTTGCTACGTTCTTACGGATATGTAAATATAATAGTGTATGAAAGTATTTTAACACTTTGAAAGTGAGTTTCTTTTTTGTATACCATTTACGAATCTGTCGAATGTTATAACTTAATTCAGAGTTAGAAACGTTAATTAATAATCAGAGTCTACAGGTAAGTGTTCATTTCATTCGAAAATTGCCATATTCCAGTTTCCTTAATAAATGTCAATTTTAATAACGTTAGAAAGTTTTCCGATTATTCCCCCCTTAAATGATACACATTTCTACACTCGGAACGATCATTTGACGTGAAACGAAGGAAAAAAAAAAATCGATTTCTCCAATATGACATTAAAGAGAAAAATACACAAAATGTCGTCTCTTTTCTTTCTTTCTGGTAATTATAAGAATTAAGAGAGTATCGAACTTACCGACTATCGTTAGATAAACGGGATGACCGATAGGCGGTGTCGTTGATATTTGGCACTCGTAAATCCCGGAGTCCTTCCGCTGTGGATATCGTATCCTCAACGTCCATTCTTCGGCGTGAGGGAGATGCAACGCCTCGAAACGTTGATCGCTCGTGTATGTGTAACGACCGACCGTCAGCAGGTGTATATCCCGATGCCTCACCCAAGAAACCTGTAACGAAAAACGTCACGTCAACTTTCCATACCAACGAATCTCGCTGGGAAAGCGATCTTCTTCGGAAGAAATCATTCGAACAAACACCGACCGAGTATCATCTAATTTCAAACGCGAGCTGTGAACTTGGTCAATCGAAGAGGAATAACTAGGCCAGGTTGGTTAGACGTGGCAATTTTTGCAATTACTCGATGGGGGTAAATGCATCTCTCGATAAAATCGATAAAAAAAAAAAAAATGAATACAGTTTGATATGCAGATTGCGGTCACGCGCGTGTCGCGCTAATTCGTAGGTCAGCTGCGCGAGTTTCGTGTTTCGGCGTGTTTAAATCGATGAACTGCAACAGAACGATATCGATGAACCGTAATGTAATATCGTCGAGTGCATTCTACGATTAATACCACTGACTAACTAGGATAGACCAGACGTCCAATACTTTTTCGTGTCACATTCTACCGTATCGTTTGTAACAATTAAGTTTATATTAATTTTCCACACTCTCACAATGAACTTTCTTGTCCTTGAAGAGGACTCTATAATTCTCGAAAGATTTCATTTTAAACGAACGAAAATTTTATACGTCCCGCGGTCGTCCCGAAATAAGGGCCACTGATTGATTTGACTTTTGACTACAAAAAATTTCTTTTCTATACAAAATTCTATTTGGTGTATATTAATGTAGTTACGACTTAAAAATTAATTTCTGCATGCATTTAATATTTAATATAATACCATTGCTATTTAAATAATATTAGATCGTGTATTTTTCTTTGAAATTTATAATTAAGGAAACAATTTTACTATTAATTTTTTTAACAAGAATATTTATATCAATGCTTTAAATTCTTTTCTTAACAAATTGCTTAAATTCAATACAACTGTAAATCATGATTTGTGTGGTAAATATATAAAACTGTAGTGTAATGAGACTCGTGCGTAGTCTCCTCCACGTGGTGTCTCTCAAAATATATCAGTGTCTCGGAATATTATTATTTGTAGAGCGAACGGAATTTCGATTTCTCCGAATATTACTATTTTTAAAATGATATCAAGCAAATGAACTACGCAACCTAAATTTCTTTACTCCTTTTATTTGGATGGTTTAAACTGGACTGTAGGAACAATTAGTTTATTTGTTACTACGAATTCGAAGAAAATAGCGTATTTGAATATATCGAAGTGTACGTTTAAAGATGAACGCTCTCTCAGTATGTTCTCTGTTCGGTATTAAATTTTTAAATTTTTGTTAATTTTAAAAGAAATTTCAAGGGGTAGAGAGTAAATTGACGGACGATTCAGTTTACTTTATGACTCACTTTCCAAGAGAAGTCTGTCAAATTGACACGCTGTAATTTCGTTCCTTCAATCACGAAACGGGTGTAATACTTGTCCAGAGGATACTTCACACATTTGAAGAGATCGTAACGAACAGTGCGGCGTAAACTCGGTTGTAGCCTCGAATCGAGCAGGCTCTCGGCCGGAAACGAGTCTTGGAATTAAAGGGGAGACGACGAGAGAGCGAAAGAAGAAGGCAGTGGCGTTGCAGCGTGACGGATCTCGTCGAGGGTGTATCATCCCCCGCATCCGCCACCGGTGCACAAACCAATTCCCCATAACGATACCGGCACTCGAGGCGCGAGAGTGTGACATCACCATGGAGATTCGGTATTGTCCTACGTCGGCCGCGAACCTGGCAGCTGAGTTCTCGAGATGACAGCGGTGTGTCATTGGCATTAGTCGCGGTATTGTTTGCTGAAATCCAACCGAAATCTATGCACACTGCACACGCACACGCACACGC